CATATTTCATACGACAGATTCTTAGAGATAAATTGGATTTTTTTGAAATATTCGAAATAATTTAAGCGTGATATTCCCCTAGCATGTGAGTGAGATTCACTTTTGTGCGATGTCATGGAATGTAATAAATATCCTATAAGTATATCCGTTTATTGCATTTGATTTTCGTGTGAATTGGCTATTTGCTAGCATTAGCACCCGGGAAACTTACTCACTCTCTCTATCTCCTTTCAACCCAGTGTCCGCTCCAAACTAATGCTATATTATACATTCTGGGTTGTGTGTAATGCTCGCCATGCACATGCTGACAAATTAAATGTGATGTTGGCGTGTTCAAGTGCAGTATTCACGAATCAAATCGTGCCATTTCGTATAATTTGACTGTCCGATTGTGTGCGATTTATGACAATTGTCGCCAATTCGAGTAAACATCAATTCCCATTCACTTTGAAGTGTCATGTTTTTTACATCGTCGTCATCATTCGTCGGTGTCCTCTCCTTTACACGAAGCAAACACACCAGTTTTGTTGTACGAATGGTTTCGAATAAAATGCTTGCGTCAGTTTTATGCTAATTCAAAACTGCAGTCCGTTCCATTGATCTTCGAAGCGAAGGTAACGCTTTCTTTATTGTTGACCCCGAACAAAAAAAGAATAAAGTTTCTTGAAATGTAACACAGCATTTTTGTCGATAAAGTTCTCGCATTAATTTCGAAGTCGGTAACCGCTGAAAATTTGTTGTTTTCCTTTTTCTTCTTTGACCACATTTTGTATGGGGGACATCCCATGTACACGACTTTTGCTACTCACCTCGGCCAATGGCCAACCAAAAACTGGAAAAACAACAATTCACAAAATGAAAAACACCAAAAAATTTCATTAATTTATAGATTTACTCAACACAGTTTCATTTTATTCTGGGTTTTTTGTTTGTATACATCGGTACATGTAAAAGGGTTTCATTTTTTTGTCTAATTCACCTTCCACACATTTTTTTTTGGTTTTCCTTCTCACAAGTAATCATGGTAAACGCCACATAAGCTACACATGACATCGAATCTCTGACATTTATTATTGATTTAGGTTTGGTTTTTCCTCTTGTTTTCGTCTCATTTCCACAATATATGTCATGTCAAATTCGATCTCATCAACAGCTGCGCTTATTAAATTCTTTAGTCTAACGTTCCATCTAATGTGTTACATAGAGTTGTGTTACAATTTTCTCTCATTCTATTGAACGAAGTATGCTTTGCTCAAGCAAAAGAAAAAACAAACAAAAAATTTGGGATTACTTCCAATTAAACATATATAGACTCGAAGTCTAATTTTCTTTCATTTCTCTTTCATCTTCTTATAATACATTTTCCAATCAGTGCACGGACTACATCATATCAATAAATTCATGTTATAGATTTTTTTATTGGTTTTGTTTATAAATTAAATAAAATATTTCGATAATATCTATTCTTGAATTTGTCTAAGAAAAAAAAACGAAGTGAAGGTTTCTTTTTTTCTTTGCACAGAACCCGACAAAAAAACGATAAGTTTACTTATTTTCACTTACCTATCAAAGAAAAAGTGGAACAAAAAAGTGGTTGTCTGTTCATTTTTTGCTGGAAAATGAGGCTAAGAAATTATGAGCGCAGCCCGTGCTTCATAGGCGAGAATATAAAGGGTTGATGCATAATCAAGGGCTCTTAATATCCGCATATTTCGTATATCCAATTCAGACTAAATAACATGCAAAAAAGTGTGTTTTTTTTTTCATTATTAAATCCATTTGGAGCGCTTCTTCTGAACGCGCTCTCGTTCACTCACTCAATCTCATGATCTCAATCAGTTGTGTGATGCTGGTTGTGTTGTTGATGTTGTTTTAAATTCCCATCGAACCATTTTTACTACATCAATCATCAGGTGAAGTTTGTCAATAATTTCTCGAAAAACTGTATAGCTTCTCATTTGAATGGGTTTTTATCAAGTGTGTTTACGAGTATATTTATCAAGTAGAATAGTTTTTTTTTGTTTATCTCATTTTTTTTCTATTAATAATTACGTATATTCGTATCTTGTTTATGTAAGAATTTTTATGACGATGCATTCATCTCATCAATGATGAATCATCAATTTAAAACTGTAGTCACCTTTATCGTGCTCCTTTTTTATTACCACTTAGATCAACATCAAATTGATTATAAATTTCCTCAAATTACGTACTATGCTGTTGATTAATTTGTGTGTGTTTTTTTTTTTTGCTTTTTTATTCACTTTTTTTTTGTTTGTTTGAGACGACACCGAAAAATTGTTCCTGAAATTTTGTACTTTCGAAAATTGTGTTGTTTTTGTTTTGTTGTTGTTGTTTGTTGCGGAAATTGAGTTGATCCAGACTCTCGTACATGTTTTGACGAATGAAAAATTTTGCATATCCAAAAACCATGATTTTTATGTCACCTCTATTGCGGTTGGTTTTAAATCGAAAAATTACACCGAATTTTGTTGTTTTTGGGTTTCAATTCATTTAGCGATTTGTAAAATGCTTTAATTTCTAAAAGTTAGTTTGTACTCTTTAGGTGATGGTGTTGATGTTTTTTTTTAAATTTATTTGACTCGCACTACTAAAAGTATAACAAAATCATAAGAACAGATTCGAAAACGAAAAAAACGGAATGATAGAAAATAGTAAACAGAAAACGGTCATCGAAAAGTGTGCGGAGAAATGTGTTGCGTCCGTAGTCGAAAAAGATATGATCTGGGTCAAGATATGAATACGCTGAAACTGAAAATAAAAACAAACAAAACAAAAGTGTCCAACAAAACAAGAGTCTAAGGGTGCAGGGCTGGATTTGAAGGTAAGAATGGGAATAAAACATAAAATGGCTGAATAGAAAAAAAAACAAGAAAATAATAAAACAAATAAAAATGTTTAAATTTTTCTATTATGATTTTTTGCATTTTATTTTGTTCTCTGTTTAGCTTCTTTTTCTTTATATATTAGAATTTCTCTTCTGTTGCTCAGATGTTTCTCTTTTTCGTGTTTTTCTCCTTCTTATCTCTATCTCATTTTAGCAATAACAATTTGATATCATTAACCATTTTGAAATAGCTTAGTAGTTTTTAGTGTTGGTACAATCAGTTTTGGTTATTGCAGTTTTTCCTCATATAATTAAAAAAAAAAATCAATGAAACTGTTGTTGAGCCTAGCTTATATTACCGGTATTTTGTTTCAAATATTTAATTTTTTTTTCTTTCGTTTGGATCATTTCGTTTGTCATTCATGTGGATTGACGTACGGTTGGTTTTTTTTTCTATATACATCATGAAACATATTTTCTTTTAATGATCTCGCCACTCAATTACATCTCTCACTTGATTTCGTTTAGTACGCAATGTGGGGGAAACGTGTTTTCTTTGCTTTTACTTGACTATGAGGTAGTAAAATGAGAACATCCGGTTTTTTTTACTCTTTTTTTCGTTTATTATGGTGGTTGTGTATGTGATTGTGCGAGTGTTAATTATTTTTGTTGTTTTTAGTTCATAAATGTAAATACGACTGGTACTTAAAAGAAGAAGAAAAAAAATGTATAATTTTTGCACTTTATATGGTTTAAAAAAAATCATAATCGGAGAAAAAAACGTAAATCGACGAAAAATGACCGTTCAAAATAAATGATCAATACTTAAAAAATTAAGATTGTGTACCTAAAGTGAATCCCTGAGTTTGTTTTTCATTACATTTATTCTCTTATATCGATAAAAAAAATCTATGCATATCATCCGTTTAATTTTTTTTTCTCTTCTGTATCGTCTATTTTGTGTATGCGTGTGATTAACAAGAGTTGTGTTTTTTAATATGTGCATCTGTGTTTATGTGGAGTGTGTTGATGTTTAATTTTTTTTTGGGGTGGCATATGTAGAATTTATTTTTTTTTTGCTTTTTTATTAGCCGATCATTAGGAAAAAATGTATTTTTTTTAGTTCGACAATACCACATCGAATCGATCGCACTTTCGAGTTAGATCATGTTCGAATTTGATCTTTTTCGAATTTTCGATGTTCATTTTCGTCGAAAAATGCGCCTGAACTCAAGAGGTTTGAGCCTTTGAGTTGGCTCAATGTGGTTAAGAATTTTGAACAAGAGATTTTGAATGTGATTGTGTGTGTGTGTTTCCTCATTCATATTTTTTTTTCTTATTTTGGATTAATGTTTAAATTTTGCTTACATCCAATTACACCAAAATTATAATTAATCATATTAATGTTTTCAACATTGAGAATAGTAATTTCTCTTTGTAATTTAATTTTTTTTTTGCATTTTTTTCAATTTGTATTTCATTTTTTTCACTAAAATTTTAGCCTAAACAGGATTTGCATCAATATTTTTTGTATACACATATGTGTTACCATAATGTTTGTTTTCTTCCAATATTTACTAGGTGTGTATGGGGTAATTTATAGCAATTTTAAAGTCGTTTTGCGACATTTCTTCTCTCTATTTTTAGTTTTTCCAATTAAATCTAGTAAAAATTCTTACGCATTGAAATTTATGTTTTTTTTCATGTTTTTGTTAAAAAATTTCCCTCTATTGTAATTATTACGATTGTTTAATATTGAACAAACAAAAAAAATACCAAAAACCCACTTGATTAACCGAAAAAAAACAATCTAAACGAATAGTACATACTAGGTGCCAAATTCAATAATTCCGGCGCCCTGGTTATTTATAATAATCAATTTTGTTTTCTCTTACGTGAATTTTATCATACGACAGCTCAATGTTTGTATTTATTCTCCTTAAAATTTCTTTGAAAAGATATTGGAGCGCCTAAAATGCATATAAGTATGTATTTTTTTGCCTTCTTATTAAAGATCCAGTTTTTAGTTTTTCTGTTTCAATAATTTTTTGTTTCCAATTTTACGCAACTTATATTCCCAATTGTACGACGTTTTATGTTATAATTTCCATGAATTATCCCGGAGAGATGTGTCTCTCACGGTTTAATAGAGTTTTTTTTTTGTTTAAAGGTAGGTTTACATTTTAATTTATTTTTTATTTTTTTGTTGTTTTTAATTCTTGTATACAATACACATAAATTACGAATTTTTTTATGTTTTCTTTTAGATTATGTCGAAAAAGTGGTTACTTTTGAAATTTTGCTTTGTCGTAAATGTGCTCAGACGATTTAATATGTTGTCATTGCCTTATATAAAATAACGATGTTTTTTGCACAACAATGAAAATGGTAATGGTTTTTTTCACCCTTTTTTTAAAAAAATGTTTATTTTTTCGACTTGCATATGTTTTTGTTGTTGCATTTATTTTTGACCTGAGAAAGAATTTGAGTTTGATATTATTTTTTCAAAAAAGGGGTGTTGGTTTCACGCGCGCGCTTTGGTGTTTTCATCATTCCACAAATTTACGTTTAATTGTCTGGGTATAAAGAATTTATTGATCGACATGAATAATATGCACAATTTCGTTTTTTAAAATTAGGCAAATTTAAAAAAAAAATCCCTGAGTTGAGTGTTATTATTTCCTTTTTTTTAGTTTAAACATTAATTTCTTTTATAAAACATACACATTTATACCGACATTTAGTTTTTTGTTTTGTTTGTTTGCAGGAATACCTAAACTCTTAAACATGAATAATGCTGTTATATTTTTTTGATGGGTGTGAAACCAATCAAATGCGCCGTATTTTCTGTTCATTTTCGGTACGAATAGGAGGGCGACGGAATCGAAAATCCCTGAATTAGTAGTTTGTGTATTGTTCACAAAGAAAAAATGCAGTGAAATGAGCACATTTCAAGACAAATTGGCGTCTACTCAAAAATGCTTGTCAATGAAACACTATTTGAAGCCGAATGATCGAAATCCCTGAAACTATTTATTTTTACTAACTGAAAAAAAAACCCGGGGAAGTCGCGATTCTGAGGTATTCAGTTTACAGTCTGTTCAATTATTATACGATAATTATTAAGAAGAATTTCATTATTGTAAAATTGGAGTTTATCAAAAAAAAACTAAAATTGAGGTATATCTGTTGAAATGACAAATTGTTCAATTTGCATTTTGGTTTTTACTCGTAATGTGTTGTGTGGCTTTGGATTCATGTGTTTTTCTCTCTCTTTAAATGCATACAGTTTTATGGATCATTTTGTATCGCGGCGTATAATTCTAATCATGTTCCATTTGTTGTTGTTTTTTAAGTTATTCCATGGTTTCGATTCCACCACTTTACTTAAATGTTATAAAAAAGATATTTTAGATGGTAACTTAGGCATAGAAACAATATAAAAGAAAAATGTGTGTATTTTTTTCTGTTTCACTCCTTTTTTGTTTCCTTGATATTTTGTGGGCTTTTGCTTACTTAATATTCCTTCTTTTTTTCTATTTCATTAAATGGTTAAATTTTCTGTCGTTAGTTGATCAGCGATGATTTGATCATTCCCAACAACTGAATTGGTAACTGGAGCGCGGATCCTCTTCAAAAGAGCTCCAAATATTTTACGATTTTTCGTTTCAATTTAAATTATTGTTTACATTTTCAAGCGAATTTCCATTCATTTCTTTAATTTACGTCAATCTGCGAACTCAAAACATTCACATTTTCACAACAAACTTCTTAATATGTTTTTTTATGTACAGTTTGGTTAAAAATTTAAAATTCTTCGCGGGTTGAATACACAAAAAATATGCATCTTTTCGGACATGTGATTCCCATGATTTGAGTAGATACCACATAGCGAATGTAATTCGGATGGTTTTCATGTTTCCAAATACGTTTTTTGCGGTTAGTTTTTTTGTTTCATTTTGAATAAGCCATACAATTTTGCATCCATAATTTCATTCCATTCTCAAAGTTCATTCGAAAATTTGCTCATACTTGTTTTCCATTCTTCTCTTCTTTTCTGTGTCGAATTTTGGAGCGTCCAAAGAAAAATTTTGATGCGTTCATGTCGAGCTTCTTCATTAGAATGCTCCGATTTCAACAAGCTTCTTAGAAAAATTGTCTCAGTTAAAACTGAATTTTCTTGATTTATTATCATATGCTCGATTTTCTCCCTTTTGCAACCATTTTCTTTTTACCGGCGAAAACCAACATTGAAAAAAAAAATTGTACAGCAGCAAAACTGAATCGCCAACCAAACAAAAAATATTGATCGTAACTATCTATCGAATTACACTTCTCATTCATTTTTCTTTCTATTTGAATTTCTCTCATTCGAATCGGGCGTCGATGTCTATGTACAAAATCACAATTGATCTTCATCGAAATGGAGCATAAAATGAAGACAAAAACAAAAAATTATAGTAAAAAAAATAGAACAAATTAACAGAAAAATGAAAAATAAAGAAGAAGATGTTTTAAACATTCTTATTGATCATAAATCACAGATAATCAACTGGTATGAAAGTTGGGCTGAGTGTCCGATATTTTGTTATTTTCTTTTTTTGGTGTACGGACAGTAAAAGAAAATCGGAACGGAAAACAAAACAAAGAATCAATTGAAATGTGTTTGAAAACAAAGTCAGAAATAATAATAGATTGTAGGCTTTATCACGCTTTCTCTTGGACAAATTAAAATTTAACCTGTGATTTAAATGTGCCTAATCGAAAGAAGAATAAAATTTGAAAAAACAATCATTCTCTTTCGTTTTCATAACAATGTTTCAAAACTCAAAGAAAAACGGATAGAAATTTAATGTAAAATTGGCCAGTTAGTGTTTAGCTCAAGCTCTCAAGAGTACCAAAGTATCAAGGAAGCAATTGGTGTGTATGTGTTTAGATTACAAAATGAAATTGTTTCCATTATTTTATGTACACATTTTTAAAAAAATTCACTAATAATTAGAAATAAAATCTGTCTAAAAAAAAGAAATATAATAACGTATTCATGTTATACACAAAAAGCGATTTGCAAAGTTTTGAGGGGGACATGGGCAAGAAATTGCAATTTGATTGCCAATTTCTGCTATTACAAAAATTAGTTGATTTAAAATCAAACAAAAACGAAAAATAATAAACGTAAATTCGGTAAAAACGTAAAATTAGACAAAAAAATAAAATAATAATATTATTGGGTGGCGCATGGTCACTGCTTGGTTGGTTTAATATCTTGATGAGAGAGAGAGAGATTGGTATAGAGACGTGTAGTGTCTCACTTACTCCCTTTCTCTCTCATTCGCTCTTAAAATATAAATAAAATGGTTAACGTTGGTAAATTCACTTGGATTCTCAAGCATTTTATTTTATCATCCTGTCGCTTTCCATTTGTTTTTCTTTTCATCGGTAACTTTGTTTCCGTCGTTTTTCCTTCTTCTTCTGTTTCTCATTCAAAATTCATATCCATAACAGCTAATTATTTTGTTTCGTTTTACGAGTGTTCTTTTTTCCTTTTCCTTTTTCTCTCACTTGTCGACGATTATTAGATTTTTTTTGTTTAAACATTTACACACATTTTTGTTTTATGTTCTTATTTTTGGGCTATCCAATCGATGGATATTATTCTCTAAAGTGGTACTTTTTTACACCTTGCCTAAGTAATCTTTTTTTTTTTGTTTCAATCAAATCATTTCTTCAAAAATTTCGGTCCAAACGTATGATTTTGAGTTCTTTCAATCTCTCCTCCTCCTCCTACTCCTCCTTGCCTTTCCTCATGTGAACATCATTCTTGACACTTTGTGTGTATGAATTTGAATTATTTACATTTCGTTTTTTTTTGTGGCTGTTATGGGTTGTTGTTGTTGTTATTATTGTTTGATTTGTATTGCATGTGTTGCAGCATCAAGCGCATATTTTGAGATTCCATTTTCGATTCGGTCATACATTTTCAGAAAGCATTTTGCCCACATATAAATTCCGTTTGTGTATTTCGTTTTTATTAAAATCACTGATTAGTTCTCAGGCACTGATTTTACATATTTCTTCTTTTTTTTCATTTCTATTTGATCTAATAGCAAATTCACTTGCCATTAGTTGCGAGTGTTTTGTGTACGTCACATTTATTCCAGTTTCGAATGTTTGTCTTGTTTTTTAATTGTAACGTCTGCATTCTATTTTTTAGTAGTATTTCTCTTTCTCACTATCTTTATGTGTAAATAACGGTAATTCTCTGTGTCTGTAAAATAAAAATAACACGTAGGGGCCAACAACGAAAGGAGAAAAAATGGTGCCGTAGAAGAGAAAAAAATAGAACGAAGAAAATAATAAATGATGAAGCAGCTGGGCTTTGAGATAAAGAAAAAAAAACAAAAGATTATTTACAGATAAAAATTGTAAGCTTGTTTATATATCACCGACAACTTGTGTCAAAACTACTATCTTATTTAGAATTGAAATTGAGTTTGTGTGTGAATTGTAACTTGGTAACTGTTTCGAAAATGTTTAAATTCGCGATAGCGAATTTGTTATTGTTTTTTACTTCTACGTTGCGCAAAAATGTGTGTTTACTTTTTGCGTGCTTCCACGTGTGCGTGGTGAATGGCATGACACTCTCGCAAATTCGGTCGCACAATATCAGCGTTAACGCTGTATGTCAATTCGATTGATGTCATGAAATCGTTAAGTTTTTCCAGCAGATTATTTGCTCACTAACAACATTGATGTTACTGAACTTTATCTATATCTCACTCGCGCCAATCGAAGAAACCAAACTAATTACAAACGTTGTATGTGTATGTGCTTTCGCATGCTCTCCAATTATGTTTCTATTGTCTATGTCTATTAATAATTCTATATTATTTGCTTTCTTTATGTATTAACGGCAGGTACTTGAGTTGTTTATTTAAATTACGTGTTGCTCTGTGTATGTGGCGGCATTTTCCAAAGAAAATGTCGGTATTTTCTTCTTAAGCTGGGAGCAAAATCATGGTGGAATCTTTTTCCATCATCGAGATGAATTTTCTTTTGCTCATTATCAATTGGGGCATAACAGAAAAATCAAGAAGAAATGTGAATTCGGTTTGCAAGTGTTTAAGTTTCAACTAACAAACAGGTGTATAGATCTATTTGATGGGTAAATAAAATGGTCTATGGTAATAAAACGGTAATACTTATTGGTTATAAATATATAATAGACAGTAGTTTATGTGGGGCTATTGAAAGAATCGTCGTGCGGGAAAAAGAATTTGACAAAAAACAATATCTCGGTCTGTTCATTTAAAAAATAAACGCTTAAAAAAGCACCGAAGAAAACATATATGGTCATCACATCGAATGTTGTGAATGCCATGTATTTTCTCAATTATGCGTTGCTTTCTATGTATGTATGTGTGTTTCTTGGGTAAAAAGATTTAATTATTCTTCATTAATGTAAAAACGGAATTGATTCGGTGTGGTTGAAAGTGCTTTCTGAAGAAATGCCGAATTTTCTCTTCACTCTCTCATCAAATCTCGAAATATGTATGTCGGCTTAATTCAGCTGACAATTCGCAATGAACTATTACAGTGAGCGGTAAAAATATGTAAATATCTGGTTATTTTTTTTCTTCTTCGTCACTATTCAAATGACCATTCGACGAATGCATATCCCGAATGTCGAACGCTATTTGAATAATATCAAGGCTATTTTGTTTGTATTCATGTAGAAAAAAAAGAAGTTTTGTTAAAACGAAATATAAATAAATTGATTCTCTCTTCCTATAAATCTGTATCAGCTATCATATTAATAATTTGTTGTAAAACAAAAACCACTTTGTTACGTTTGCGTATGACTATTGTTGGTGTAAAAATATGTTAACGGATTTCTTCTATTAGTTTCTTTTTTTCAATTGATTGAATATATATTTGCAACTTATGATAGTAAAAAAAGATTACTATTTTCTTGTTTTGCAATTTGTTTTTCTCTCTCTTTCGGTTTTAAATGCAATAAAAATGTCTCTGTATATAAACTGTAGTTTTCAATAAAATACTATTATTCTATTTTGTTGTTGTTGTTGAATTGATTGTTGAAGCAAAAAATACGAGAAAATGGTATGTAACTTTGTGAATAACAATAGTTTTCTGTTGTTCATTTTTTTTCCCCGATCGAATCGCAAATGCGATTCTTATTCTACGAAATATGCATAAACACAAATTCGATCGGCTTTCACTGGGTTTCGTATATTGCTTCTCGTTCACATGTCTCCATTTAGTGTGTTTGTTTTGTGTGTTTTTTTGGTCTCGTAATTGTTACAAATTGTGTAAATTGCTTCATCCGTTCAGACTTTCAGAAAATGGGGAATAGACGAGGTGAAGATGTTTTTCATTTCATTTGTTTTTCTCTTTTTTATTTTGTTTTCGTTTGGATCGTATTTATGTGCAAATGCCATGGTGCGCCAAACCGGCTTATGCGGCATGATTTGGTTGTGCCGATTGAATTTGATTTATAGCAATTTCGTGCTTGTGCTCACGAGCTATATGCCGCCGGACCGTGTTATTTCGCGTGAATGTTCTCGAACAGAACGGGCATGGCACACGTATACCTTGATGACGTTGTCGAATATGTGCACGCAGATTGGTTTCGTAGCCGTACAATCGGTCGCAGTATAGGCACTTCAATTTTTTTCCTGTTCATCATCATCACCATCATCATCACCATCATTCAAGCATACGATTTTTGACATTTCATACGAAAAAATAAACAAACATTAGTTGAATTTTGACACACACCACAGAAAAAAAAATGTTCTGATGGAACGATGAAATATTTTCATCGACTCGCACATTAGTTTACTTGATAGATGGTTTTTGAAGAAAAGAAAAAAACATGAAAAAATGCGTATGCTTACCGTCAGCTGTGTTGACAGTTCCACTTTTGCTGCTTAGTTTTGTCGCATTCCATACATTGAGCATATCGGCCGGTGCAATTTGCGCCAAAGTTGGTGGCAAACCGTCCTTGGTTTCCATATAGCTGACCAATGATGTCGGTGTTGATGGTGTCGTATTTGATGTTGGCGGTTGCGGAGAATAATCAGCTTCCAACTTGATTCGTAGATCCTCGGCGCCAGCCTAATGGAAACAAAAATAAAACACGTTGTCGATATTAAAACTTTGATTCAGGCAATACAATTCTTTGTCACTAGTTTCACTTTAAAAAAATTCAAATTCCAACAACCGAATCCAAATCACTGAAACTTACGTCGTTTTCCGTTTTTATGTCGTCATCCTGATCTTGTCCGCTTTTTGATCCATTTCGTTCGTCTTGGTTGTCCGTTGATCCATTTCGTGCTGTTGTACTTGGGGGGCTGTGATTATCATATCTGCTATTGATCGTAAAACAAGGTGTGAAAATTAAAAGCAACTCCAACATAAGTGGTATTTTTTTCGAAAACAAACCTGGATTGAGGTGATGTGCGCTCATTTTGCAAAGTGTCTGCTTCCGTTGGGGCTGTTGATGAGGCGCTGCTTGATGGTCTGTAACAAAAACAAAAATGAATTCCATGAACAACTCGCACATGTTTTGACAGTTCATTTTGATGGTTGTGACAGTTGAATCGTGTCAATCGTGAAACAATGCAACCGTTGATCGAATACATACCGAACTCGTTTAGATGAACCGGAATTTTCGGCGCTGCCTCGTGATCCATCGCGTAGTACACTTTGTCGTTCTTTGCCGCGTGTTGCATCAAACGGCCGATACATTTGCGGTATGTATGGTGCAAAACCGCCGCTCAATCCCGAACTACTTGGGTTCATTAACGAATCACATTCTTGTTTCATCGAGTTTAACGGCAATGCGGATGGTGATGTTGCTGACGAACTGTTTCTTTGGGGCCTTTGTTCATGTGACTGTGATTGCGCTGCAGCCAAACGTCCATGTTCAGTTGACAAACCTTTAACCTGTGTACCACACAACGACAGCGAAACGACAACAACAAAACAATGTTAGAAACTGTTTTTTTTCTTCTCTCATTCAATTGCATCTATTGTGCTAGTCGCCTTTTCAAACATACCTGAAGGTTTTCAGCTGCTTTTAAAAAGCTGTTCAATGCCTCTTGTGACACATGCACCTCACCCTTGTACATAAATTCGAGCAATGCCGACATATTTTCAGCCGATGTTGCCTCTAAAATAACAACACACGATGAACTTGGTGGTGCCGATTCAAACAAATCCGCAAAGTTCTTTGAACATGCTGCCAGTATGAGTTTGTGTGCCTTGAATACGGTACCTGAAACACGATGCCAAACACAAAAAAAAAATTAACAAAATGTATGCAATCACAAATCTTGATTTGATCGGCTGTCAAAAAATTGTTGTCGATTCAATACTCACCACCACAATAAAGCGTAACATCAGCCAATAGATCTGATTTGAAGAGATTTGAGAAAGTCATCGCCAAATTGGACGAATAACTATTCCATTTCAAACAAAACTGCTGCTGTGGATCCATATTGTCAAACTATGAACGAAATAAACAATAAAATGACGTTATTACACCAACGAGAAGGGAAAAAAATACCGATTGCACACTTTGATTGATGTGTGCTTGTGCGACGAACGTAAACACCGGCTGCAACGAGCTAGAGCAGTGTTTTCATTTCAACGATTACGAACAAATGTCAATAGAAACATAAGCGTTGCATGCGCCCTCTTGAACTGAGTAGACGCAAGAATGTCATGTCGTGAGAGTTGCGTTGCATTCTAACATGGGACACGTTATCCCATTCGACCGATTCGAACATTTGATGGATAAAATCCGTGTGTATTGAAATATGACTCTTTTTGGATATTGTTGTTGTTGTTATGAATCCGATTTGAATCCATAACAATGGATACTTCCTCTAAAAAAAATCCATAATAAAACTTTTAAAGCATGAATATTGAAAAGTGGCAAGTGAAGAGGGCCTGATTAAAAATGTATCTGTGTTGTATGGTTCAAATGGAGAGTGAGAGAGTGAGAGAGAGAGAGAGAGAGAGAGAGAGAGAGTGAGAGAGAGAGTGAGTTTTATTTCGTTGACAAAAATCGATATTTGAACGATATATAACATCTTTTCAATAGTCGGCCGAATAACGAGAGAAAGGGAGAGAAACGGGACAGAGGAAGAGGGAGAATGAGAGATAGAATGAGAGACACGAACGAGAGCTGCAATCGAAAATTCCAATATGAATTTCCTGCGCTCCATTTGAATATATATCCGTACGGTTTATCTTGGCTTTGTTATCACATGAACAGTTTCATTTTCGTTTTTGTGCACCTCTCTGGTCTCCGCACTCTTACTTTTGGCTTTAATGATTGTACGTCACGGCATATTGAATTTCAATTGTTTGGTAGCATTGCCAGTGCCAATGCCAGTGACTGTTGTCTTTAAATGGTATGTACGTGCAAAATTTCGGGCACAGTACACAGTGTACAGTGTACACACCAGAGTTTGAAATATATGCCCACTGAAAATGACTGAAATTGTGTTAGTGTCTATTCGGCTAGGATTTCACTTCCTTTTTTCGATTCCATTTATAACGCAGTGTGCTGCTGCTACTGCTACTGCTGCTGCTGCTATTCGCTGCATGCACATCGTCGATTCATGCGCAATATCTATTAAAATTCTATGTATACGTATATATATATAGTTTGACATCGCCGTTTTTATTGACTTTCGTACGGATGGGCATTGGCTGTGCGTGTTTTTTCCCGATGTTTGTATTTGCACAGGACATTGTTTCTGCCACTTTTCCTTTCCATTTTCGGCTCATTTTTCATCGTTCTCTCTCTCTCTCTCTCTCTCTCTCTCTTTTATCTCATGCCAGTGAGAAAAAAAAACATTCAAGCCTCACCATTTGAAATGACCAATTCATTGTTAAAAAGAACCGATGCTCATTTTTTTTCTCTCGATTATTGTGTGTTTTTCATCAAGTTCAACTTTTTTTTCGGCGATTGGACATTTTTTTCGATTTTTTTTCCTTTTCGAAATACATAACGATACACAGATCCGTTGACAATGGCATTTTTCCGATATTATAACTGTGTATATTGATAAGAACAATGAATGAAATGAACAAAAAGATACAGCGACAGGAATCGGCATTGAAAAGTCGAAAATTTGTTCGAATCGCATTGAATAGAATTCGGAGGCAGAAAAAAAAAGAAATCTCAAACAATCCTATTAATATTCCTGATACATGGCATTCGTTTTCCATCCTGAGTGTGTGCGTTTTTTTTCCTCTATATTCATCAGCTCTTTTGGTCGCTATTCATTGTAGCATACAGAGAGAAAGAGGCCCATTGTACGAAAAACCGTCGTTGTCATTTGATAAAAACACTGCGAAATATCACCGAAAAAGAAGGACAGGGACAGGAATAGAAGGAGAGTGTGAGTAAAGCGATAGCAACATGAAAAAGTTGTACAGTTCACTTCCCTTCTGTTAAAATACAGGCTCATTTCCTCGAACTGCGTTTTTTATGATTCTATGTTTGCTTTCAAGTGCAGTCGTTCGGATAAGTTAAGGGTTGCTGCTGCTGCTGCTATCAATATTGCGCGTTTTGTTAGGCATAGTGCGCGTTATATCAGAGCATACACACCGAATGGGTAACATTTATGCACACAGTGAACTCAGTGTGTATATATGCTCTCGCGCATACAAACGACCGAGCCAATTCAACGGAAAGAGAAAACAAACTTTCACTTTTGCTTCGTTTGCTGTTTGCATGCACAATTTAATGACTGATCCTGGATCTCACTCACTCTCTCTCTCTCACTTTTACTGCTTCGCCTATACAGAAAAACCCATAGAGCCATACACATACATATACATATATATATGCGTACATTTCTATATTGCGTACACCATTGCATATCCTTCTTCAGTTACCACTTCACATCCGCGCGCATAGAATGTTTTTATGTGTGTATAGTGTAGTATCCATTGGAACTGGAATGTACAAATGCACGCATATATAAGGTTAAATTGGGTCAATCTATAACTTATGGGAAAACCGGTGTATGTACAGCTATGACAGCATACATACAAATGTACGCACGAACGCACGTACGCATTTGCAGCAGCAGCAGCAGCAGCAGCAGCAGCAGCAGCAGCAGGCGGCATATACGACGCTGATGTGAGCGAGAGAAGGAGCAGTGGAAAAGGAGAAATAAAACAGTAGATGTTGTTGGTTGGTGCTGCTATCAGTGCCATACAAACACACTGCGTTTGCATTGATAGCATTTTGTAGCATTGATTGTTTCTATCGACGCATCACTGCGGCACCGCATGCGATAAGACGATGTGGTTGCTTTTTTCCCTTCTTTCTGTCATATCCTTATATTCACGGAGGATGCGCAAAATTTCAACGTTATGTACGTACCCAAAATACACAAGCGTTTGGTTGTTTTTCCAACCGAAGCAAGAAAAAAAAACACGAAATGCGTTTGTATGCGCACACAACGAATGCGGGTGGGAAATTCGAATGTGAGGAGCAGCAAAGGCAGTAAAAACGCTTTATCGAAATGGAAAATGCGTGTTTTGTGCATGTGGATGGAACCGAACACGGCGCGTGTATGTGACATACACATAGGCATGCAACGAAAACAACGTTCCACAGAAGAGAAGAGAAAAAAACAACAACAACCAAGCCAAAAAGGAAACAAACGCCACTCACGTAAGACCAAAACAATAGAACGTTCTTGCTGAAGCCACAGCGTAACCAAAAAACGAAAGGGAAAATGCTGTCGCTGTTGTTTTTCTCGTTCTCTGTGTGTGTATGTGCGTGCGTGTTGATTCACAGTTGAGCATTGAAAATGGGCTTGAGCTGCATTTTTTCCATGCTTGTCTCAACTCACTCGATCCGCATTACTTTGTCTCGCTCTGTCGCTGAAATCACGTGAAATAAATGTATATGCGATACACCCGGTTCGAAATTGAAATTGTGTGCCAGTATATAGAGACAGAGTACTATATTGCGCCCTATGTGCACGGGGCGCGTGAGCGTGAGCGCGAGCGCACGTCCTGTGTCCTCGTCATTCAAATTGAATTTTCATTTCACTTTCGTTTGCGACGCAAGAAACTTTGTATTAGTATTTGCGTGTGTATACATAACAGCAGCAAGAGATGGTGGTGTTGGTTGGGGAGGCTTCCATCGTCGCCGTTCTCTTTTATTTTGCTTGTTGTTATCGGTGGTGTGTGTACTTGTTTTTTTTCTCGTTGCTTTGCCTCGCTTCCTTTTCGACGCTCGTGGGTTTTGGGTACACATTTTCGAAATGAAAGTGAAAAGCGGACACAGCCACGGACGACGAAGACGGCGACAAAGCCGACGAAAATCATGATATGATGATGGTGATAACATAGTTTGGTCACGAATCGCTTGCGCTTTCTTTTTTTCTACCCTGCTGAATGCTGTATGTATTTTTCGGGCGCATACAAAATCATTTTTAATGCTTCGGTCGCTATTTTCCAATTCTCGAATAACAACTCGCTCACTCACCCACTCACTCACTCTCTTTCGTAATGCACGGTGCAAGTACAGTTTGATAGCGTTTTTCTGCTTTTCCGTTTTCCATTTCAATGTTTTCTCGGGGGCAGGCGAGATGGAAAACCCAGAAAAACACGCAGAGCAAGAGTGAGAGGTACATTTTAATGGGTTTGGCTTTGATAGAGTCGATGCGTCTTTGTATAGGTATGAAATTAATTCGTTTTTTTTATGCCGTTTCGCTTGCTGATGATGCATTTAGGGGGACATTTCCCAAAAAAAACCGCACACACACACTGTACATCGGCAGCCATTTACTGCATTTTCGTGCGGCGTCAACTTTTCACGAACTGTCAGTAGCCATTTTTTCGATCGAAGTTCAACTCTCTGTCTCTCATTTGCACGTGAAAAAATCGATTACGCCGTTTGCTCTGTGTGTATTGTTTCCCCGAAGAAAAAAAGTAATTAAAATCATGAATGTGCCTTAAATAACGATGGCGTTCCACCGAAACTCTGTCGCTCTCGCTCCCGTTCGATCGTATTGTATTTAAAATTACATACATAGTTGAATAATTGAAACGCTTTTCCTGCCATCAAATTCCGAAATTTTGTTCTGGCAGTGCGTGCGTTCTTATTGATTGGTCACCTTTTTTTCCAATTCGATTCGATATTTTTGTTCTTTCTCTCTCTCGCTTGCTTTATTCGGCATTGAATGCTTTTGGGAGCATTATTCCTTCCGCTTTTCAACAACATTTCCTTTGAAATTCCATCAAAACGAGATTTGGGCATACCGAATAGCATTTTCAATCTTGTGCTTGATTGGGCTTTTATACGATTTCACTGCGCGTCATAATGATTCGCTGTAAAATTGTCGGCTTTATGTAAATCGATACCAGTACCAACCGAATTGAAAAATAACGGCAGCAACGATGGCAATGCCAGCCAGCATTCTCAGGAAAATACACGTTGATCGATCGAGCTCGGAAGGAGCTCTTCAA